TGAAGGACCTTTGCACGAAGGCTTTCGCCGCCAGTCCCCAAGTTCTGATTGAGAAGAGTATGAAGGGTTGGAAGGAAATCGAATACGAGGTTGTCCGTGACGCCAGAGACAACTGTATTACCGTCTGTAACATGGAGAACTTCGACCCTCTTGGTATCCATACTGGTGACTCCATTGTTGTTGCCCCGTCGCAAACTCTCTCTGATGAGGACTACAACATGCTGCGCACAACCGCTGTCAATGTTATCCGTCACCTCGGCGTTGTTGGAGAGTGTAATATTCAGTATGCGCTCAACCCATTCTCGAAGGAGTACTGTATCATCGAAGTGAATGCTCGTCTGTCAAGATCCTCTGCTCTTGCTTCAAAGGCTACTGGTTATCCTCTTGCCTTTATCGCAGCCAAGCTTGGTTTGGGTATTCCCCTCAATGAGATCAAGAACTCTGTTACCAAGGTCACTTGCGCTTGCTTTGAGCCTTCTCTGGACTACTGTGTTGTGAAGATTCCCCGCTGGGATCTTAAGAAGTTCACTCGTGTCTCTACTCAACTTGGCTCCTCTATGAAGAGTGTTGGTGAAGTCATGAGCATTGGACGAACCTTCGAGGAAGCGATTCAAAAGGCCATTCGCTCCGTTGATTTCCACAATCTTGGTTTCAACGAGACTAGCGCGCTTATGTCCATCAAGGGCGAACTGCAAACTCCTTCTGATCAGCGCCTGTTCGCCATCGCCAACGCAATGGCCACTGGATATAGTGTCGATGACATCTGGAAATTGACCCAGATCGATAAGTGGTTCCTTAGCAGACTTAAGGGTCTCAGTGACTTTGGAAAGCTTATGACTACATATAATGCTACTACTGTTCCCAGGCCTCTTATCCGACAGGCCAAGCAGCTGGGTTTCTCCGACGGTCAACTTGCCAAGTTCCTTAGCTCCAACGAGCTCGCTGTTCGTCGCATGCGTGTTGAAGCTGGCATTATTCCCATCGTCAAGCAGATCGATACCGTTGCTGCTGAGTTCCCCTCAGTGACGAACTATCTGTATCTGACTTACAATGCATCCGAGCATGATGTTGTCTTCAACGATAAGGGTATCATGGTCTTGGGATCTGGTGTTTACAGAATTGGTTCTTCCGTCGAGTTCGACTGGTGTTCTGTCCGTACTATCCGTACCCTCCGTGAACAGGGCTACAAGACTGTCATGGTCAACTATAACCCTGAAACCGTCAGTACAGATTATGATGAGGCTGATCGCTTGTACTTTGAGAACATTAACTTGGAAACTGTCTTGGATATCTACCAGTTGGAATCCTCCAGTGGTGTTATCATGTCCATGGGTGGCCAGACTCCAAACAACATCGCCCTGCCTCTCCACCGTCTTAATGTCCGCATCCTCGGAACCTCTCCGGAGATGATCGACGGGGCCGAGAACAGATACAAGTTCTCGCGTATGCTTGACCGTATCGGCGTCGACCAGCCCGCGTGGAAGGAGCTTACTAGCATCGAGGAAGCGACCGGCTTCTGTGACAAGGTTGGCTATCCTGTGCTTGTCCGACCTTCTTATGTGCTTTCCGGAGCTGCCATGAACACTGTCTACTCTGAGCATGATCTTGCCAGCTATCTCAACCAAGCCGCTGAGGTTTCCCGCGAGCATCCTGTTGTTATCACCAAGTACATTGAGAATGCTAAGGAGATCGAGATGGACGCTGTAGCACTTAACGGTACCATGGTTGGACACTTTATCTCCGAGCATGTCGAGAATGCTGGTGTCCACTCTGGTGACGCCACATTGATCTTGCCCCCGCAGGATCTAGACCCAGAGACCGTCCGGCGCATCGAGGAGGCTACTAGGAAGATCGGTAATGCCCTTAATGTCACTGGTCCTTACAATATCCAATTCATCGCAAAGGACAATGATATCAAGGTCATCGAGTGTAACGTTAGAGCTTCTCGTTCCTTCCCATTCGTTTCCAAGGTCATGGGAGTCGACCTCATTGAGATGGCCACCAAGGCGATGCTCGGCCTCCCCTTCCAGGAATACCCTCCTGTCAGTGTTCCCAAGGACTATGTTGGCGTGAAGGTGCCCCAGTTTTCCTTCTCCCGTCTCTCTGGAGCGGATCCAGTGTTGGGTGTCGAGATGGCCTCCACCGGTGAAGTTGCTTCCTTCGGTCGCGACAAGTATGAAGCTTATCTCAAGGCACTTTTGTCGACTGGTTTCCGCCTGCCGAAGCGCAATGTTCTGTTCTCTATCGGTTCATACAAGGAGAAACTCGAGATGTTGCCGTCAATCCGCAAGCTGCACCAGATTGGGTTCAACCTCTTTGCTACCGCTGGTACCGCCGACTTCCTGAAGGAGAATGGTGTCCCAGTCAAGTACCTGGAGGTCCTGCCAGGCCAGGAGGATGAACTCAAGTCCGAGTACTCGCTCACTCAGCACTTGTCGAACAACCTCATCGACCTCTACATCAACTTGCCGTCTAGCAACCGATTCAGGCGCCCAGCCAACTATATGAGTAAGGGTTACCGCACTCGCCGAATGGCTGTTGACTACCAGACCCCCTTGGTCACCAATGTCAAGAATGCCAAGATCCTGATCGAAGCTATTGCTCGTCACTATGACCTGGCGGTGCAGACCATTGACTACCAGACTAGCCATCGCACTGTCACCCTTCCTGGATTGATCAACATTGCTGCTTTCGTGCCCGGACTCATGACTCCTGGCTCCAAGGACTTCGAGATTGTGACCAAGGCTTCCATGGCTGCCGGCTTCAGTATGGTGCGCGTCATGCCGGTGGGCGTCGATGCCTCTGTCACTGATGCTCGCGCACTGAAGGTTGCCCAACAGAATGCCCAGAATGCTTCTTTCTGTGACTTCAACTTCTCCGTTGTGGCAACTTCCACCAACTCTGAGCAAATTGGTCAGGTGACAGGAGATGTCGGCTCTCTGTTCATTCCTTTCAACCACCTTTCTGGAAACATCAGCAAGGTCGCAGCAGTGACTAGCCACTTCGGCGCTTGGCCTTCCAGCAAGCCCATCATCACCGATGCCAAGTCTACAGACCTTGCCTCAGTCCTTTTGCTGGCAAGCCTTCACAGCCGTAACATCCACGTCATGAGTGTCTCCTCCAAGGAGGATATTACTCTCATCGCGCTTAGCAAGGAGAAGGGTCTCAAAGTGACTTGCGATGTCTCTGTATTCAGCCTCTTCCTGTCTCAGGAAGATTACCCTGAATGCAGCTTCTTGCCTTCCGCCGAAGACCGGAAGGCCCTCTGGGAACACCTCAGCACCATTGATGTCTTCTCCATTGGCAGCATTCCCTTCCAGCTTGCTGGCGAGAAGGCTTCTCCAGAGGTTGGTATCGCTGAAACTCTGCCACTGCTCTTCACTGCCGTGTCAGAGGGTCGCCTTACCGTCCAGGATATCATCGCTCGTCTGTATGAGAACCCCAAGAAGATCTTCGAGCTACACGATCAGGTTGATTGTTCAGTTGAGGTCGAAATTGATCGCCCATACCTCTTCCAGAACGCGCACGCTTGGTCTCCTATCAGCGGCAAGAGCGTGAGAGGATCTGTCCAGCGGGTTACTTTCCAAGGAAAGACATCCTGTCTTGACGGCGAGATCACACCAGATGCTCCGAAGGGAGCGGATATGTCTGGCCACCGGATTGTGCCTGCGTCTCCTTCCGTCAAGGCCATGTCTCCCTTGGTACAGGCACGGCCAGAGGGTATTGATGGACGGCTGTCCGTTGCCGGAACTCCCGCTCGCCCCTCACGTCGGGCCTTGGATCAAGCCCCAGCTGTCGGTGAACTCGGACCTCCCTTGTATCCTGCCATGTCACAAACCTCTTCTCCTCTTCATGAGATGCTCGCCCGGTCAACTTTCAGACAAAAGCACGTGCTCTCTGTCGGCCAGTTCACCCGTGCCGACCTACACTTGCTCTTCACCGTGGCCCAAGAAATGCGTCTCGGTGTTCAACGCCAGGGCGTCCTCGATGTTCTGAAGGGCCGTGTCCTTTGCACTCTCTTCTATGAACCTTCGACCAGAACATCGGCTTCCTTTGACGCTGCTATGCAGCGTCTTGGAGGACGTACCATTGCCATCTCCACGGAGCATTCTTCGACAAAGAAGGGCGAGACCTTGCAAGATACCCTCCGAACCCTCGGCTGCTACGGAGACGCTGTCGTTCTCCGTCATCCGGACCCGGCCAGCACTGAAATCGCTGCCAAGTTCTCCCCAGTTCCCGTTCTCAACGGTGGAAATGGAAGCGTTGAACACCCCACCCAGGCATTCCTTGATCTCTTCACGATCCGTGAAGAACTGGGAACTGTCACTGGCTTGACGATTACCTTCACTGGTGATCTGAGATATGGCCGTACCGTCCATTCTCTCATTAAGCTGCTCCAGTTCTACGACGTGCGGGTGCAGCTTGTCGCCCCTAAGGATTTGTCCTTGCCGGAAGAGGTTCGTCAGCAAATTATTGCTTCTGGCCAGCTGGTTGTGGAGTCCGAGGAGTTGACTCCGGAGATCGTTGCCCGTTCCGATGTTCTGTACTCTACACGGGTACAGAAGGAACGCTTCGCCGATTTGGAGCAGTATGAGCGTCTCAAGAACAGCTTCGTTATTGACAATGCTCTTCTCAAGCACGCCAAGAGCCACATGGTTGTGATGCACCCCTTGCCCAGAAATGCGGAGATCGCGGAGGAGGTTGACTTCGACCAGCGGGCGGCTTATTTCAGACAGGTTGGTCTCCCCTTGGTGCTTGTTATTGGACATGTCTGTGCTAACTTTGGATCTACAGATGAGATATGGCCTCTACTGTCGCATGGCTTTGCTTGCATTGATTCTGGCGCCTTAGGTCATTTACTTTACTTTAGAGGGAGCCGGATGAACTCCATGATTTTCATGTTGTGGAACGCGACCTCGTTAATTCTTTTGCTTGCGTTTTGTTTCCTTTTCAAGCATGTGTCACCAAAAGTTATGCAGTGTCATTACAGAATACCGCGTAGGCTTCTTAGAAACCGCCCGCATGATAGATTAGATGAATTCCCTTTTATGAACATGACGATTTCGTTGTGTGTTATGTATGATGTATTGTGTATTGTGTGTTCTGTGTTTTGTGTGATGTTTACGTGTGGTGTGTGTTTTGTGTGTTATGTTGTGTGTGGTGTATGTTGCGTTTCTTTTCCTTTTCTCTTTTCCTTTTTCTTTTGGTGACTGGCGTGTTTTGTTTTGTTTTTGTTTTTCTTTTTCTTTTTCTTTCTATCTCTCTTCTTTACGCTTTTCTCTTGTTTTGGGTGTTTTGGGATGGAATATCTTTTTATGGCGTTGGGTTTGGCTGGGTATGGGACTGGAAACGGAAACGGCAAGTGGCATGGATGCCTTGATACCTGATACCCCGATATGCCTGCGAGGCAGGACACGACTATTACTACATATACCCTTGGACACGACAATACATTGATATAATTCAGATGGCTTCATCTGGATCTCAATTTAACTATGATCTTGACATCTTTCATGATAGCTAGACTTTATTACCTAATACCCTCTCTTTTTTTTTCCCTTTTTTTCCCCCTCACTCCCCCTTAGGACCATGGCTCTCCGCAAATATCCAAGGTTCAAAACAAATCAAACATTATCCTAGCTAAATAAGGCAACCACTTATATCAATTAACTAAGCTAAACACCATTCCAATGACCCTGCTTTCAATTGGGGTGGTCGACAGAGCATATGTTACTGGAAAGAATAAACTTCGGGATCACTTCATCTGCAGGCTGATGGCGTGATCTACTATGCCCTTATAACCTTCAGCAATATCTTGGGATACAAATGCTGTTTAAGCAGGGGGAGCTGTTGAAAAGAAACCCCCACGCCCAATGACACAATTTCTCAAAGTCAGGAACTACTCAGTATATAGCTTTCCTGCCATGGAAGATCTTTCCTCATTAGCACCGGCTCTCTCCAATGTCGCCATCGCGGCGCCCCAATTGCTCATCCATCACCTTTGCGATGTGCAAGCCGCTGTCTGCACTCCCTCCTCAGGCCGCTTTTTATCAAAGTCTGGCCCGCACCAAGGCTGTCGGCAATTCTGATTTGCTGATTAGCGGGCCAACGCTTTCTATACACTGCAAGATCAACGTTCCTGCGGGAGGAAGTAGTGGTCTTGACCCTGCGGCTATATCTCATTCGCCGCGTTCATCGCGTGAAATGCTGGGGCGATGATGTGCTGCCTGCCATGTGGTACCCCAAACGTTTTGCTTATTTTAAATAACTGCCCTTTGCCTGGTCTCAAGATTCTCTAGTCATTCCTTCAGTGTTGACCCTAACCACGGGTTCTTTCAGTACGGTCATTCAGTTTACGTCGGCCACCTGAACCATGGCAGAGTCCAGTAAGGAAGTAGAGATTACTTCCTCCTCGGAAAAAGCAAACACTGTATCTCCTGCAGCGAGCACACTTGCTGATGAACATAATGGCATCAACGAAAAGGCCCTACTACGAAAACTGGATATGCGACTCCTTCCACCATTAACGATACTGTATCTCTTGTCATTTTTAGATCGTAGCAATGGTATAAACCTTTCTTATGAAGCAAGATGGGCTCATTCTAATTATTCTCCCGCATAGTTGGCAATGCCCGCCTTGAAGGCTTGACGACTGATATCAACATGAGTACGGACCACCAAAATGAACCATTGCAAGAAAGCTTCACTGACGGCGATTGACGCACATAGCGGGGAACCAATACTTAACGGGGTTGACCCTCTACTTCATTGGTTACGTGCTGTTTGAAATTCCCTGCAACATTGTGTTGAAGAGGACCACGCCACGGATCTGGCTTCCCACGCTCACATTGGTCTGGGGTATTGTTGCTACCCTTCTTGGTGTCGTGCAGAACTATGCCGGTTACTTGGTTTCACGGACAGGTATGCCTAGCTCTCCGCAACCAGTACGCAGAAATACTGATGGGTCGGACGTCTTGCCGGTTCGTTGGATCTCTTGATCCACGGATACCGGAAGGCTTCTTCCAACGATAGCCCTTGGCATTGCAGAAAGTGGACTTTTCCCTGGAGTTGTGTTCTACTTATCTATGTGGTACAAGAGGAGTGAGCAGCACTATCGGGTAGCATTGTTCTTCAGCGCTGCGTCGCTAGCTGGTGCTTTTGGTGGAGTCCTGGCTTGGGTACGTCTCTCATAGTGAACTCCCGAACTACAACACACTGACTATCGCCTAGGGAATTGGACATATGCGAGGTGTTGGTGGATATAACGGATGGAGGTGGATCTTCATCCTGGTATGTATTTACGTACTCTTCTCCACCAAAACTATTATCAGCTTACCCTAGCTTAGGAAGGGCTGGCAACAGTCGTCATGTCCGTCATTGCTTACTTTTGGGTCTATAACTACCCTTCCACCGCAGAATTTCTGTCAGAAAAAGAGAGAGCGTTTATTCAATTTCGCCTGAAAAATGACAATGACTCGATGCGGGACGAGAAGTTCACCTGGTCCGGGGTTTTAGATGCATTCAAAGATCCGAAGGTCTGGCTATACGGACTTGGTTTCCATACAATGTCCCTTCCAATGTATACACTGTCTCTTTTTCTGGTGAGGACTCATGGAACAGGCCCAGTTCGAACGACTTACTGACAATGAGCAGCCTACGATTATCAAAGAGCTAGGGTACACAGCCGCTGAAGCCCAACTTCTCTCCGTTCCCCCCTACGCTGTGGCCACGATTCTCACGATTACTGTTGCCGTCCTTTCGGAGCGCACCGGTCGTCGGGCGCCGTTCATCATGGGCTCTACTTCATTCGCTTGTATCGGTTATATTATCCTACTGACGGACCACCGGCCGGGGGTATCCTATGTGGGAACTATCTTCGCCGCAGCCGGGATCTATCCCGCAGTTGCTATTGTGCTCTCGTGGCCGGCCAACAATGTGTCTGGACAGACAAAGCGGGCGATTGCTAACGCAATGCAGATTTCAATTGGGAACCTTGGAGCTGTCCTAGGAACGCAGCTCTATAGAACTGAGACGAGCCCCCGTTATTATCTGGGCCATGGGTTCGCCTTGGGATATCTTGTTGCGAACATTATCGTTGTAGGCATTCTCTGGCAGGTTCTAAGGCGCGAGAATATCCGGAAAGCGGAAGTCAGGGAAAGAGAAGGGCTACAAGCGTTAATGGGTGATATTGGAAATTCAGAAGGTGAATTCCAAGGAGATAAGGACCCTCGGTGGATTTTCCAGACATAGTACAGCGCATTGGACCATGGTTGTTTGCTCAGCTTAGTACCGCATCGCTCAAGAATGTCTCTTTTGACTTGGTAAATGAACAATCTTGCAAGTAATATAGATTTTGCGACGGTTTATCTTAGCGTTGATGCACGTGGCCGATCCGCGGCAGTTGAGCGGAACCGTCGCCCTCCTTCTTATCCTTTAGTCTCTTGAACCAGGACATCGGCTATATTTCTCGATCAATTTGCAACCGAGCTACTGTGGAGACCCGGCATGGTCATGGCTTTTTGATTTGTTCTACACTGTCCCCTGAATTAACCGCGTGGTTACCATCAAGCTATATAAATCGGACTGACCGGCAGCTTTGAGCTACCCTTTCACGATGTATTCTCATTGAACTCAACAGTTATTCTCCTTGTGACTTCCTACAGAACCATGGGTATGACACTTAGGAGCTTGTGGTTGCTGGGTCTGAGCTCTGCGGCCTCAGCCAGGGCGTTCGAACCGTTAGAGCATTTAGGTGCTAATTCTCCGTGGTTTGCGGGTAGGCTTGTACACCCCATATCATCATGAAATCGTCATCTGACGAGTCTAGGGCCTAACGTTAATAAGATTGCATCTACTGTCCCTGAAGAATGCTCCGTGGACCAGGCTGTTTACGTTGTCCGCCATGGCAGCAGATACCCTGATCCTGGTGCCTACCAGGAATGGGAGGATCTCCACAAAGCGGTATGCCCTCCATCATAGATTTAGTTAACTATATGCTTCTGATTAATCACCAAATATTATTCAGTTTCAATCTGCCCAGTATCGCGCTACCGGGTCGCTGAGCTTCATCTCCGACTGGAGTCCAGTGTTGAGGCACCCTGACCAAGAGATTAGTCAGTTGTCCATTACTGGCTATAAGGAGCTGTAAGTTAATCATTCGCCCAAAGGGTTGTTTGGTCGTTCACAGGATCTAGATACAACCTTGGTGCCGATTTGCGATTCCGGTATCCGACTTTCTACAAGGACAACACTCCTTTCTTGCTGTGGGCGAACGACTATCAGCGAACCATTGACTCTGCGAGGTAGGTAAATTGCTCTACTTCGGGTATAGTGGTTAACATGGTCGATAGACTCTTCGCTCGCGGTTATCTGGGTCCCAATGCTTCTTACGGCGATGTCTACGTTGTCGATGCAGATGCCTCGGGTGCTGCTGGCAACTCCTTAGCTACCTCTGACCAGTGCCCCAACTTTAAGGATGCCAGCGGGGGTGATCAAATCGCCGAATGGCAAGACATCTATCTCCCTCCCATCACCAAACGCCTCAATCATAAACTCTCCGGCAATCTCACTCTCACGGATGACCAGGTCTCCTTGTTTCCTTACCTGTGTGGGTTTGAGACGCAGATCACCGGCCAGGTCAGCCCGTGGTGTGATGTGTTCACGAAGCAGGAGATCCTAGAATATGAATATGCTCAGGATCTGCGCTACTACTACGGCACAGGTACGTGTATCACGACCGGGGAAGAGACGCGATTAACAGGTATATGGTAGGGCCTGGAGTGGGCAAGAACATGACCGTTATGCTGCCTGTGCTGCAAGGCGTGGTCAACCTGTTGAAGGAAGGACCAGCCGCCACTGCTGAAAAGGGCAACGGTACCTTGCAATTGCCTCCGTTGGTGGTGGCCTTTACCCATGACAACCAGATTAATGAGCTGGCGTCTATCTTGGGTGTTTTTGATGACCAGAAGCCGCTCGCCTCGGACAAGGTGGATCGTGATAGGGTACGCCGCTTTACTTTGGACCAACTTGAAATCTGCTAATATTTGTCCTATAGATCTATGTTAGCAGCAATGTGAATCCGATGCGTGGGACTATCGCTTTCGAGCGTCTTACTTGCACATCGGGCGGGAAGAGTACGGCTAACGTCCGCATTTTGCTCAACGATGCTGTGTACCGTGAGTCTGCCTTGCAATGTGCATCTTGCTTTGCCCCTTCCACGCTACGGCCCTATGTTTCTCATGTTTCTCTTTCCGGTTCTATTGGTAGTACGTGTCACTGATGTCCACAGCCATCCCATCCTGCCGTTCGGGACCCGGAAGCAGCTGCCCGGTTGACCAATACGCCCAGTACGTGGCGCAGAAAAGACAGGAGTACGGGTCGTTCGCCTCAGTCTGCGGCCTACCTGAGAAAAACATTACGACCGCCGGTGCCGACGGATCGGTGACCTTCTTCACAGATCTGACACTGCCGTTCCTGCGCGTGGTCAAACCTTGAATGCCGCAATACAGCCTAAGACTTGGGTGAAGGACAGACAGGTCGTGTATACTTACTGCCCTGAGTGATAGATGATTGAGCAAAAACCAAAGCAAAAAGAGAAGCCGAACGCGGGGGTCGAACCCGCAACCTTGAGATACCGTGACGACTAAGAGTCTCACGCTCTACCGATTGAGCTAGCCCGGCTACTTGTTATATAGCAGAGTGACAATATGGCTAAATATAGCTAATGCATGTAATACCAGAGCATTTCGAGCAATGGACACCACATCTGCAGGGGTTGGGCATCCGCCTGAGCACATGGTCATATTCCTCGAGCAGAGTACGACTAGTAAATTCCAAATCCATCCGCCGCCGGGATGCAGCCCATCCCGCCAGTTCCCCACCCGATCTGTAGTTCATGAACCTAACCCCAGATAAGCAGTCACAACCTCCTCGTGCATTCAAAAGCAAAACCCAGTGATGATTGATCACCAGACGGATCGGGTCCCATCGGCGAGAATCCCGTCCATGCCCGATCCAGCCTAGCCTCCAACCCTAACCGCCGACTTTGACCAATGACCCGCACTCGATCTACTTCACCTCGGCGGTGGGGAACAAAGGAACAACAGCCAAGATGCGCCGAAAACAATATTATCAATAGACGTGATAAATAACCGCAGGGATTCCACCTCAGCTCTCTCTCTCTCTCTCTCTCTCTCTCTCTCTTTGTATGTCATGCTGCCCAACGTGGGCCATCTTATACGAACGCCCCCTGTCGTGTTCTTCTTAGCGCTGAACGAGGATATCCCGGGTGTATTATTGGTGCTGGCGAGTTGCTGTGTGATGGGAGTACATTACCTTGTGTTATTTGCTCAATTATTTATTTTGCTTTTTAGTGTGAGTGGCTATCGTTGTGGCTCTGAGGGGGGAGAATTGATTCTGATTACCTACTTGGATACGACAGTGCAATAAATGTGTTGTAGCGGTAAACAAACTCGACTGGTATATAAAATATGGACCGAGATCTCACCGCAACGTAACGGTCACTTGTACAGGTCACATTTTTTTTTTTTTTTTACTTCACCTACTTTAAGTACCTGTTCCTGGATGTCGCTTAATCTCCGGTTCAGATCGTGACATATACATAATTAATTCTCCTGTTTGCTACTTATTCTCCTTGGACATAGCTGTCTGCATACATACATACCTATATACTTACGAGTATATCCGTCGCATCCATCTACAACACCCCACAGAATTCTAACCATCCAACTCCACCAAGAACAAAACCAACAAAAAGAAGAAGAAGAACAACAACAGCAACAATGCCCCCCAAACGAACCCTAAAATACCACCTCTTCCTCAAACCCGTTGCCCTCGTCCTGCGCGCCCTCGCCTACACCCTCGCCCCACGCATCACCCCAACGCCAACAACGACCCTGCACATCCCGTCCCGCGACCCCCAAAGAACCATCCCCGTCCACATCTACCGCCCCCGCAACCCCGCCAAGGGCCCCCACCCGGTGCTCCTCAACTTCTGCGGCGGCGGCTTCATCATCCAAGGCCACGGCCTCGACCACACCTACTGCAGCCACATCGCCGCCCACACCGCCTACACCGTCTTCGACGTGCAGTACCGCATGGCCCCGGAGCATCCCTTCCCCGCCGCCCTCGAAGACGCAGAAGATGTCCTGGGCTATGTGCGCGCGCGGCCGGAGACGTATGATGCGAGTCGCGTGGCCCTGAGCGGGTTCTCGGCGGGGGGCAATCTGGCGACGAGTCTGGCGGCGAACCACGAGGGCCCGTTTAAGGTGCTCGTGGCGTTTTATCCGTTGGTGGATGCTGTCAGGCCGTTGGGGGAGAGAAAGGCGCCGGAGCGTGGGGGGTGGACTTTGCCCGGCTGGTTTGTGAGGTTTTGTACGGTGGCGTATTTGAGTGGGGGGTTTGAAGGGCAGGGTGGGGATGTGAGGATTTCGCCGTTGCGGAGGGCGGTTGCGGATGGGTGGCGGGTCGAGAGGGTTTTGTTGGTTGCTGCTGCGAGGGATTTGTTCGCCCCGGAGGTGGAGGAGTTGGGGGCTCTGCTTGCGAAGGGCGGCAATGGCGGGTTTTTGAAGAAGGTCGTTGTTGAGCGGGTCGACGGGGTGGGTCATGCTTGGGATAAGGTTGCGAAGGAGGGCACGGTGGGGTGGGAGAAGATGATGCGGGTTTATGGGATGGTGGTGGATTTGTTGGATTAGACGTTTCTTCTTCTTTATTGCTCTCTTTCTTTCTGCTATGAAGGAGTTGTGGATGTGTGGCCTTGGTATTGTTTCATTTGTGGTGTTTGTTGGTCGAATTACATATACCCCCGTTTGTTAGACCAAGGGCCAGTATTTTTGGATGATCGTTTTCTTGTTCACCTTGCCCATTGCGTTGCGCTCGATGTTCTCGACGATCTTGAGCACCGTGGGGATCTTGTAGGGCGCCATTTCTTGCTTGAGTTGCGTGCGAAGCTTCTGGAGTTCGAGGGGCTCGGTCTGGTGGGTTAGTGAGCATTTGGAACCTGTGAAGTGTAGTATGGGAGATGGACGTACGCCAGGACGTTGTTTGACCACAGCGGCCACCCGCTGTCCCCACTCTGCATCTGCCAGCCCGACTACCGCTACTTCCTGGATGGCGTCTAGTCCCAGCATCTTCCGCTCTACCTCCAGTGCCGAGATCTTGTACCCGCCGGATTTGATCAGGTCGACAGATGCCCGTCCCTGGATAAAGTATGCGCCAGAGGCATCCCGTCTGGCGACATCCCCGGTCTTGAACCACCCGTCCGCGGTGAATTCCTTGGCCGTGGCCTCAGGCCGACGCCAGTACTCCAGGAAGACGTTGTCTCCCTTGATCTCAATCTGTCCGTCTTCGTCCACCGCTTCAACAACCTGTCCGGTTTCTTTCTCGGTTAGTCGTACTTGAACGCCGGGAAGCGGCCACCCGACACTCCCGTCGATCCGTTTCTCGACCTCCAGTCCGCAGCTAATCGCCATACCGATCTCCGTCATCCCGTAGCGCTCCAGGAGCGTCTGACCGGTGATCTCTGCAAACTTCGCCTTAATGGGGGTGGGGAGCGCTGCGGAACCGCTAACAACAAGTCGTAGAGCGCGAGCTCCATCCCGCGCCGCGGATTCCTGATCCGTTCCGCGAATGTGAGTTTCAAAGTAGTCAACCAGTCGGGAATAAATCGTCGGCACAGCCATGAACATGGTCGAGGAGCCCCAATCCTGCCAGCGGGACCAGATGACCTGGGGATCGAACTTCGGATGCATCTCAACAGTAACACCACTAAGAAAACTAGCCGCCAGGCCATTGATGATCCCGTGCACATGATGCAACGGCAGGACATGAATAAGATGATCTGAAGGTGCATATTTCCACGCCTTAATCAGACATTCCGCCTGGAACGTGATATTCTCATGCGTCGTAACGCAACCTTTCGGACTAGACGTCGTGCCCGACGTATAGATCATTAGTGCGCGCCTTTCCAGCGGACATTCTGAGCTAAATAGAGGTAATTGGACAGCCGTCGGTGCGACACGCTGCGTAAACGGGTCTAGATCCATGAACGGGATTCCATTCTTGGTCCCCTCCCGCAGGGATATTTCGAAGTGCGCGAAGCTCGGATGCAGGATGATCAGTGACGGGTCCGAGTCGCCGATTGTATAGAATAGTTCTTTCACTGGATGCGTTGTGCCTTATATTATGGACCAGCTATTAGTTAGTGTTTCAGGCGGAGTGTTTGCGATGCATACAGAGTGGGACGGTAACTCCGCCCGCTGCCCAAATGGCCCATTGTGCAACCACATAATCGTATCCGTTCGGTGTGAGGAAAGCTACGCGTCTTTCTTCTAGGTCCCCTGTTTCGGTGAGCTTCAATTGCTGGAGAATCTGCTTCTTTAGTGCTGCGGTGTCGGAAAGGAGTTGGCTGAAGGTGAATGATTGGTTCTTGGTTGTGTCAATGACAGCAATTTTATCCGGGGTTGTTTGCGCATGCTTCTTGGCTGCGAGGAAGAGTGGGAGAGATGGAATAGACGTTAAATTGGGGGATTGCGTCTGCAAGTTTACACTGCGCCGAGGTGTTAGCTGTAGTTAAGATGGGCCGAGAGCGGCGGTCCGGCTTGTATACCCGTTGCTTGTCTCATTCAGGACAGCCATGTTGGCTTCAGGAGGCAGGACAAGGTACGTAGAAGGAGGTGAGGACTATGCAATGCTTCAAAGCATTCAGTGAAAGGTGAGATCAAGTGAGATCGATTGGAATGCAGTTCTCACATGAGGTCAGCTTTCGGCATTTATGCGGGGGGAAGCTTTGCCGATCGTTATCGCGTCGTCGGACTTTAGATAAGGATACCCCTGGCTTCGGATAACCCGCTGGGCTTGTATACAGCAGGCTTAGCCTACTCGCGTTTCGGATTCCGAGTACCAATGTTGAGCCATTATAACTAGATCGTCTGTAATGCCACTGCGCTAGCATTGTATGTCTAGCACCTATAGTAAAACGTCTGGAAGAGACTATGTTTATCAGTCTGAGACCCCTTAACCTGAATATCAGAAGCTGAGCACGCCGTATGCCTGGAGGTATATATCTGATCCATACTCGCTATACATAGCAAAATCAGGAACCTCGTTTACTACATACCACCATGATAACTCGACACTGACTGCCTGGCCAGTCGATGATGTCTGGGATAATAGAAGCGTCGTCTTCCAAAACGAATATATTTCTTTTATATAGAGCTGGGTGAAATAGGAAGGATGTGACAGCGTTCTGAATACAATGATCTGTTGAGATCTGCTTTTAGTACTTTCCAAGTGTGTTCAAGGAGACTGCAACTGATCATCTTTGGCATGGTCCATAATAATGTGCTTGCTACCGACTGGATTGCAGCTATCTGTGGCATTTTCATTCTAGTCTAAGAGTGTGGAGATGGGAACTCTGGTATTTGTTTGCACTACAACGGGCGACCAACTGGCTAGTCATAGCAACGGGTGTGATTATGTCTCTTTGTCACTCTGAATATGCTTGTCTCCATTGCTTAACAGTAGAATATTTTATATAGATGCCCGAATAACCATCCTAATCCGGCAATTACAGCCGATGATCTGAGGATACTCCAATCGGAGCCGAGAGACTACTCCGGCCAGTTCTGCTGATATCCAGATCCCTCATACGAGGTATAGAGTTACATCGGAGAGGAGGAAGGCTTCGCTTACTTCTTGAACTTCAAAAGTAATCCAACTCCATTGCGTCATCGACACCGACCACCATGCAGTGGACACGTGACCGTCGGAGTTGAAGACAAACTCCGAGAGTCCTGAGGCAGCATTGGAGATTCAAATAATCGCCAATCGGTCTGGATGGGAGGAGACACCAGGCGGAAATCATGATGCTCAGAGGACCTGCATCGCGGACAAGGTTGCTCTGGCGACCCACGAGTCTGCTGCGCACGACTCGCGCAGGGTCGTCATTGACACCGCCACTAATTCGCATCCAAGACGGAACCTTCTATCAGAACTATCCCAGTCCAGACGACGCCGCCAACAACCAGAACCCGCCTCTCTTTTCCAACCTCAATTTCACTCTACCCGCCGACCGGGCAGCATCGGCTGAAAGCAATGGAGATCAATCGCTGCAACACTGGGCCGTGATCGGTGCCTCGGGGAGAACGCAACTGCTCGATATTCTCCGCGGCCAGTATGTCTGTCTCCCGCCGACGGCTCGCTCCAACCCCTACCTCCTCACAGACGAGATTGCGAAGAAGGATCCTCGGTTACGGTTCGTTGGAAACGCGATTCAATATATTGGGTTCAGCGGTGAAGGGTCGGGAGCGATTGGTGGTACCCGCGGCGCCTACTTGAGTGCTCGCTATGAGAGTCTTCGGGAAGAGACGGACTGGTCGGTGATTCAATACCTGAAGGGTCAAACTTCCTTGAACCCCCTGGAAGGAGAAGAAGGTGGAAAGATACGGGATGAACAGCTACTCAATCAGGTCATCACCGATCTGCGACTGGGAGAGCTCCTGGACATGCCCGTCGCAAACCTGAGCAATGGTCAGACAAGACGTGCGCGGATCGCAAAGGCGCTACTCAGCAAGCCGGAGCTGCTGTTGTTAGACGATCCTTTTAGTAAGTGGCCCTCTCTCAGGTTACTTTCAATTCTATTGCTAACAACTTCTAGTGGGCCTTGACCCTGCGACCACCAGAAGCATCTCTGGCCTTCTCCAGCGCCTAGCAGCCAAATCGGACCCCCGATTAATCCTCGCCTTACGGCCGCAGGATACCATCCCGGACTGGATCACGCATCTGATGCTCCTCGGAAATAACAACCGAGTCTTATTTCAAGGTCAGCGCGCCGAAGCGGACACGGTATTCAATGTGTGGAAACGAGTCGTCAAAGGCGGCCGAGAGGTTTCATCTCTCGCTCCAGAGGAGAAAGTGATTTTCCGTGAAGCAAAGAGCGCCATGGAAGCTGGCCATCTGGATCGCCAGCTGCTCTGGGACCTCCAATTACTAAAGTCAAAGCCCAGTAAGTTAGGCCTGCCTGCTACGAAGGGAGGGGAACCAGTGATCGAAATGGAGGGAGTCCGCGTACAATATGGCGAGAAGGTTGTTCTGGGTGGATGGAAACAAAACATCAATGGTGAAGAGAAAGACGGCCTTCACTGGACCGTCCGTCGTGGACAGCGCTGGGCGATTCTGGGAGCCAATGGATCCGGCAAGACGACCCTTCTCTCCCTGATCACCTCAGACCACCCCCAAGCATACGCCTTGCCCATAAAGCTCTTCGGCCGTTCCCGCCTGCCCGAGCCAGGAAAGCCAGGCATCTCCATATTCGAACTCCAATCCCGCCTCGGCCACTCCTCACCAGAAATCCACGCCTTCTTCCCCCGACAACTCACCATCCGCCAAGCTGTGGAATCCGCCTACGCAGAAACCTTCCTCTCCAAACCCAACCTGGACCACGCCCGCGACCTCGACGTGAGCGCCGCCCTGCGCTACTTCAAGGCCGAGCTGGACCCCGACGCCGCCATCACCACCAACGAGAAACCCCCGAGAGTGCCTGTGGAGAGCAGAGCACATTTCCCGCGGATCAACTTCGTCCGAGGCGCCAGCCCCAAGTACTCGCCGATGGATTTCGACGTCGAGTACGCCGACAACACCCTCTTCGGCCAGCTTAACACCGCCCAACAGCGCGTCGTCCTCTGCATCCGCGCGCTCGTCCACAAACCGGACATCGTCATCCTCGACGAAGCCTTCTCCGGCATGCCCGCCTCCATGCGCGACAAATGCATCCACTTCCTCGAAGCCGGCGAATACTCTCGCAACCGCGCCTCCTCCGCCACCCGCCGCTCAGACGGCAAGGAAGACTGGTTGCGCGGCTACAACCCCGACGAGACCGACATCCGCCACCTCGGCCTGTCCGACGACCAGGCCCTCATCATGATCAGCCACAATCGCGAGGAAATCCCCGACAGCGTGCGCTACTACATGCGTTTGCCCTCGGAGAGCGTCGAGGGTTCCGAGCCGCTGGATTTCCGTTTCGGGCAACTGAAGTACGCTAAGACGTTGAATGAGCAGAGCACGTGGGATCACGCCTGGTTGCCGCCCTCGGAGTTCATGGCCCGGGGGGCCATCCGGTCGAGGCGGGGGAAGACGCTCGGTGAAACTGAGGAGAGTGACGATCAGGATGACAGGATATATGAGTGGTATTCTATTGGGTAAAGGGTAGATAGATCGCTAGTAGACGTGATGTTCTTGGCTGTGTGCCCGGGTTGTGTGTATGTGTGTGTATATATATATAGTGGTGTATAAGACAAAAGCGTATCCTGTTCAACCAAGAACACCAATTGGGGATTACTCTAAGGAGCCTTGGACCAGAACATATCCAACAACAGTAGCATTCGATCAACGACGCTCACTCAGAACAAAAACTATCTAAAGGACAAGAAGGATATATAGTTCAAAACGAGTCACTATCATCATACATGCATGCATCTCAAAGCAAGTCCGCGAGAGCCGCAATTAGGCCTTCGCTGCATCCGCCAAGCCCGAGATCAGCGCCTCCGAGCGAGTCATCTTCGGCTTCTCCACTTTCTCTCCCTTGTTCAGCTCCAGTCCCTTGGCTACGAGGTCGGTGAAGTCAATCCCGACTTCCGTGAGTAGGTCGGCATGCTCGTGCACGATGTCGATGCACTTCTGCCAGACGGTCGTGCCGCGCTGCACGCTGCTGAGCTGGCGTGTGAGGAGGGCGTTGAACCCGTCTAGGTGGTGTTTGGCCCATTTGATGCAGGCGCTGGTCATGATGGCCGGGAAGCATTGTTGGTAGATGTTGACGGTATTTTTGATGAGAGTGAAGTAGACGTAGGAGATTTGGAAGATGTATAGAGGCAGGTCACCTTCGAAGACACAGGCTCTGTTTTCGGGATGTTAGTTGCTGTGCTTTGGCTTGTTTGTTGAAAGGGTAAGGAACTTGCCTGATTCGTTTGGTAATCACGTCGGATCGGCATTTCAAATAGGCCTCTCGGGCTTGATTTTCAAAGCCCAAGCGGGTCAGCCAGGAGACCTTGGTCTTGGTGGCGTTTAGGAACGAGGGCGTGTCGACTAAGGATCGCGACAGCACCCCTGCCAGTTTGGCGGCTCGCTCGTCCACTTTAGAATTGATCACGTCCTGCGCGACCGAGTTGCCTTTCAGGCCTTTGGCGAGTTTCCGCAGCCGCTCGATGTTGGAGACAGCTTCTTCGAAGCGCTGAAGCGCGATGTCGATGTCGAGTTCGTCGACCTGGCCCTCGACCCATCGCAGGTTTTGTTGCTTTCCGTCTACGTCGATGCGGACTTCGGGCGCTTCGCGTTGGGTTTCCACGGCGCTGAAATCTGGCTTTACCATGGAGTATGACGACTGTCTTACTCCTAGATACCCAAATGACTCGTTCTTGCCTGGGGTCTCTGTTTCAGATCGCAGCGTCCGGCGAAGGTCTTCTACGGTTTTGCGGAATGTCGCGAGAAGGTCGATCTTGGCGGAGCCATTCCGCTTATCATGGCGATAGGTGAAGGGTTTAGAGCCCACGCGGACACTCACAGCGTTCATGATACCACGGTCTTCTGCTTCTTCACGGGAGACCCCGGGGCCAAGATTGGCACCGAGGTCAATCATGTCGACA